GCTCGGAGCAGGGAACGGCCCCGGGGGGGAACAGATCCCGGGAGGAATGTCAGGGAGCTCCAGGGATGGGGGAGGCCAGGACCAGCCCCCCAGCTGCTCCTGGGGGGTCTCTGTGCTGGGGGGGGGAAGGACCTTCCAGGTGGGCATCCAGAATCTGGGAAAATGGGCCTTTTTGGGAGTTTCAGCCCAAAACACGAAACCCGGCAAATTTCCCAGCGAGTGGAATTCTTTCCAGGGAACCCAGGGAATGAGGCTCAGGGGGAGGGGGTCGGTGAGGTTTAGGGGAGATGAGGGTGAGGAGAAGACACAGTTCAGTTCCCATCCCTTGGGAATCTCGAACTGGGATTTGACAGGGAGCACCGTGTTCCCACTGGGATAACCCAGCACGGAGCAGGAAGAGGGGGAGCGGGAGAGCCTTCCTGCCACGGAGCTGGGAGTGTGCTCAGGAGAGAGCCTGGAGCTCAGGGAAGTCCCAGGGAGCTCCCCAGCCACTGGATCTGCCGGGAAGGGGACGGATCCTGGGATTGCCAAACCCGACCCGTGTCCACAGGGCAGATCCCGGGGCTCAGGAGCTCCTTGGAACGCAGCCAACACTCCCAGAATCCCAGAATTAGGTTGGAATCTGGGACCATCAAGTCCAGCCTCCCACCGTAGGCAGAGGCACCGTTTGTGGCCATTCCCAGTTATCCTGAACACGGGTGTTGGTTTTGGGAAGAGAAGGAAAACACCAAACCAACCAACCAACCAACCACTCCTGGTGTGAAATCCTGGGAGTTTCCCCCTTCCCCCAAAGCTTTGGATTTGGTTTGAAACGCCAGAGCCTCCACTGGGATGGGAACCACAGGGGGCGAATCCCTTCATGGGACTGGGAGCACTTCCCATGGGAAAGGGGGGCTGGAGGAGACCCCTGGACTCGGCTGATCCCCCCCCTGTGCTGTCGTTGGAGGGAGAATCCCTGCAGCCCAAACTGGGGCTGCTGGTGGGAGCCACTGGTGCAGGCAGGACACTGGGAGCTTCCCTGGCTGCTCTCCAGAGGCAGATGGAATTCCCAGGGCTGGCACTGGCTCCCAAGGCACCGGGAGCTGCTGGAGTGGGGCTCAGAGACAGGGAGAGGAGCAGAGCGTGGCTGGTACCCAGGGAAGGGGGTTCCTCCCGGGATCCCGGGGGCTGGGATGGGCAGAGCTGCTCCCTTTCCATTCCTTGGTTGCAGGAATCTCGCCATTCCTTGTTTTCAGTCTGCCATCACTTGCCTTTTGAACAGAATCGGGAAAATCCCACGTTTTTAACACTAAAGGAAACCCCCCCTGTGCTCCCGCCGCGGCTTTCCCGGGATCCTGGGGAGGCTCCTGTGTCCCCCACTGTGTCCTGGGCTCCTGACCCGGCATTCCAGGGCACAGGTGACCCCTTGGATGTCCCCCCCTCCCGGTGTGAGGGAGCAGAGCAGGGAAAAGGGGGATATTTCCCTCTGTGCCCCCTTTTTGGTGAGTTCTGTCCTAAATCCAGAATAACTCCGAGCTCCCGCCCGCCGGGAGGGAACGGACACTCCGAGTCCAGCCTGGGCTCAGCCACAGCCGGGCTTTCCCTTCTCCAGGAGGGAATTCCCTCCGTCCTTAATCTCGTACAGTTCCAGCCTTATTTTTCTACTCCAGATCGCTGATTCTTCCTCTGTGTTAGAGACCAGAGCATGGTGCTATCCCGGGGCCGCGGGCACGGAGCGGG